TGAGATAACTTCTGGTAAATTGGCGCTAAACAAATAAAATTGAATTGAATTGAATTGAATTATGTGATAATATTCAGTAATAGTGAGAGTGCCACCTAGTTATACTTTTATGTATATCTCCCAGCAGATTGACCAGATCCAGCTGAAATTCTGTCAGCGGTCCCTTAGAACGATGACGATGACATCTTATGAATCTTAAGAATTTTTGTCGAACCATGTTGCCATGGCGACGTGGCAAAAATCAGCTTTTCTGTTAACATTTGAACACTTTTGGGGGGCTAAACATGGCCAAAAACTCATGAAACGTTGCACAAAATTCAGTCGGGGCTAACGCTAACGTATTGTCTTGGTCCCACAGATGGGCATCGCAAAATGGCTTCGCCACGCTTCCCAGAATCAGCCCCCTAGACACGTACGACCGACATGTAAGAAAATCGGTGTGTGTGTCATGATCGGACAAGCAAAAAAGCCTCTTGGACCCATAACCCAAACACAACAGGAAGTCGGCCATTTTGAATTTCGTGGTAATTTTTTGCACACGTTGTATTTGAACAAACTCCTCCTAGGGAATTTATCGGATCAACTTCAAATTTTATCAGGGCAATCTAAAGACATTAATGATTAAAAGTTGTGCAATTTACAACATTCCATCGTGCCTGTGGCATGGCGTCCAATTTTGATGATTCGCCATTAAAAAGGAAGTTGTCATAACTTCAGTGTACATGATCCGATCTCAATGAAACATGTTTGATAAGAGTCCCGCCCTGAACACGTCTATGTGATAATATTCAGTAATAGTGAGAGTGCCACCTACTGGCAACAGGAAGTAAGCACTGCGTGGCGATTTTGATCTGATTTATGTGAAATTTTAATGTTGTGGTCCGCATGTGTTATGACGGCAAGTGACGTGGCCGCAGCACACCCCGAGTTGCGTGGAGTGTGAGGGCCTGTTCATCTCTGCTTGCAGCTTTAATTATTATTATTACATTATACAACTCAAGGTTAAAGAAAAGATACTCAAATTCAAAAAATAAAATAGATTATGATATAGTTATAAATGTACACATATACATACATGTGAAATAATTCTGCACTGCATCTTTAAATCTGCATTTGAGGGAATGTTAACAGCAGCAGCAACATAGTGATGATAATATGGTTTTATCTTCACATGAAAAGAAACAGATCTTTTATGGGCTAGGCCAATTTTTTTCCAATTGACTGGATTTAGAAGATTTTAACCCTGGCAATGGCTGCGCTTTCAGATGCTGCAACTGAAAGGCTAGCTCCTTCAAACTTCTGTTTTTGTTCTAATCTGTTTTCAGTTTTATTGCTGCCAAGGATCATCGATGTAAACACAGTTTCTTTTTATGTGAAGATTAAAACAGATTATCATTTCTGTCTTGTTGCTGCTGTTTACATTCATCCAGATGCAAATTCAAAAGATACACTAAGGAATTGTCTACATATATAAATATCTGTATACATTGATTGAATGTATTTGTGTTGTATAATAATAATCCTTTGTCTTGATTCCTTGAAATATGACAAAAAGTTATTTTTATAAAAATTAGCTGTTGCAGCTTTAAGACCTGGACGACATGGCTGCAAAGAGGGATGTGTGGGCCACCGTACATTGGGTGGGTCATAGGGTGGCTTGAGCCGATCCCAGCAGTGAGAAGCAGGGTGCACACTGGACAGATGGATGAATCCTGGATGTTAATGCTTTGAGGCAACAGTAGTTTCTAGCAGTTATTATGTAGTATGCTTATTGTTAAATTAACTTGTTATTACAAAGTGCCACGTAATAACAATTCTGATATATTTTTAGTGGTCAGATCAATTTTTGTTTTGCATTACAACTTTACATCAGCAAAATTAGCACAAATTCCGGCACAAATTTGGGCCATATGTAAAACTAAACCTCTGATATCCTGGTGGGACTGATCTATAGATAAAAAAATATTGCTTTGATACTAAATTGCCTGCATTGAAAAGGAAAAGTGCACTTTCAGTCTTGTTTCATACCTAAAGATTTTCCTCCCTCAGCCCAGTTCAGTTTGTTGTCATACTGTATTGTTATTGTATACGTTATTGTGTGATGCATCATCTTCCTTTCTCTGACCTTCTTTGCCTTTTGCATTTCATGATTCAAAGCAGCATTTTAGCATAGTCAGAGCAGCTGTCCTGAACTTACTCAATGTATTTGTAATCTATGCAGAATCTATGTATTAATTAATTACTTGATATATTCGTTAATTAATTCATTCATTCATTCATTCATTCATTCATTCATTTATTTATTTACCAGAGACAGTGCACATGACTGTAAATCTAGAATCTGCAAGCAGCAACCATGTTTTCTTCAAACCAAACCAACTTTGACAAAACATAAAGTGTCTAAATCCAGTCCTGACTGTAAAATGCTGCAGTTTAAAAACCAGTCCACTTCGGTGCTGTGGCTGCCCACCACTCATCCAGTGTGTCTGTTTGTGCGTTTGTGTTAGGTAAGAATGGTGTATGACCATGCACCTTTTACTGACTGAAGGAAAACACTGGATATTTCCAGTTAGCACCATCTCTTTTTAATAATTCTTCACTCTCCATCTTCTTGTCTGCCTATCCCTTTCCTATATGTTATCTGCTTTTGTCTCCTCTGTTCTGACTTTATTTGTGTATGTGTGTCTGTATATATGAATGTGTGTGTGCATTCTTGTGTATGTTTGCACATGCCTGTGATCTTGTGTGTACGTTTGTGCATACCTATGTATGTGCTTGTGCATATGTGTGTCTGCGTATGTGTGTGTGTGTGTGTGTGTGTTTCTTCTCTCTGGCCAGGTGAGAAGGTCATGCAGGATGATGAGTTCACCTGTGACCTTTTCCGCTTCCTGCAGCTGCTCTGTGAGGGACACAACTCAGGTGTGTGTGCTTACTGAGTTCTCTGGTCCTTACTGATTTGATAGGAATATCAATAAGCATCTAAATTTTGTGTAAATTTAGTAATGATTTGCTGAGAGTGTTTTTAGGTCTTAATCAGTCAAGTAGTATTGCACTAAATTTTTTATGTGAAACCACTGGTTTCAGCAGAGAATTTGAGTGTAAGTGTTAGACTACTGGCAACCAAGAGAATTAATGCAGATTTACTCAGGCGATGACTCCTCATACCATAAGCTTTCCTCTATGTAGATTACATACTGATGTCCGAGGCATAATATAAAATGTCATGCAATATTTTACTAAATTGTTACTACTACTGTATTCATTCACTTGAACACATACCAAATACAACATTGCATTATTTTGCGATATCCTGTTTCAGACTTCCAGAACTACTTGAGGACGCAAACAGGGAACAATACAACCGTTAACATCATTATCTCTACTGTTGACTATCTTCTCAGAGTACAGGTTTGCTCCATTTGTTCACTTCTACTGGTTCATAAGGGACAAATTCGAAGTTGAAACTAAAATGAAATTAGTCTTCACTGAGTCATATAGTCCTTATACAGTTGTGACCATTCCCATTCAGTGGAATTTGAGTTTCTGGGAGGAATTTTGAGGAATTGTTTGTTAAGAGACCTTCACTGTAAACCTAAGACACTCAACAAATACTTTTATCCTTTACACTGTAAAAAAAAACAACACAAAAAAACCAATTGTTTGCAAAACTAAATTTTTTTCTAAAGAAGAAAAATGTATTATTATTATAAGTTTTTTTTTTTTAAATTTAAGAGTTTGAGTTTTTACAGTGTACTAGCCTAAGCCTAGTCTGGAAGGAAATCTTTTTTATTGTATTAGTTTTGGCAGTTTTTTACAGTTACAGTTTAAGCAGGCGTATTTGCAGAGATACAGCATCAAGTATAGTCCAACCCCCATTAAAGTATTACTTACAAACATTACTTAACATAGTAACAATGAGCACATCCCCCAGTGTAAAAAATATACAGTAGCAGGCACTGTTCCTTCCATGCACACCATTGTATTGTTGTATTGTCTTACAGAGCCACCATCTGGCTTATTTTGGACTAGCTGTTTTTACCGTTTTGCACACTTGCAGTTAAGCTATGCAGTTTATAATGTTCACTTTATCATCAGTGGTTTTGAAAATAGTTGGAATGTCCCTTGAACTAAAGCAAATATGTTCCTGCTTTTTAATGAGAAAGTGAAAGACTGGATTTTCTCTTTTTTCCTTCTGCTTGTTATTGTTTTACTAACTTTAATAATTCTATAGTTTACCAATACATTCTGTTCCACACAGTATTCTACTCATTGCAGTACTGCTGTTACCGCATGATTTAGTATTGGAGTTCAGCAGCTTGATAGAAGTCGGGACGAACGATAACTTCAGTCTGTTTGATTTGCACTTTCTGGCTTTTTCTAGTGCTCTTAATGGCATTTCCAAAAATCCACCGGACCTAGATGAAAAAAACAAACAATCATTGTCATTTCCAGGGATGTAATGTAATTTGTTTACTGTATTTAACTACCTGGGAATGAGACTCAACAATTGTTAGCTCTGATTGGTTGTTTTTGTTCAGATGCGCAAATGCTAGTGTGCATTTTTGGTCAGGCTTAGAGGTAGCCATAAAGAAGCAGAACTTTATCGTCTGCAAAAAAGCAGTAATGTAATCCAAAAATCAGCATATAGGACATTCTTCACTTCTCAGCTGCATTCTAACTCCAGGCATTATTGAATCTAGGCTCGGATTGATTGCTTTTGTTTAGGCCCAGTGGATTCTTGCAAATGCCATTAGGAGTGCTACAACAAGTCAGAGGAACCTGCTTTTTTCACAGATTATCTCATTTACTACTGTCAGGATATAGTGGAATATTCAGCAAATATGACAAAAAATGAATAAAAATTACCTACTGTAGCTTTCAACTGTTAAGACACTATCTTGTATTTACTCATAGTTAATCTTTCTAATTCTTGTCTTCTTTTCCCCTCCTCTGCTTACTCTCCCTCAGGAGTCTATCAGTGATTTCTACTGGTATTATTCTGGGAAAGATGTTATTGATGAGCAGGGCCAGAGGAATTTCTCCAAAGCAATAAATGTTGCCAAGCAGGTTTTCAATACACTCACAGAGTACATCCAGGTATGAGAAGGCACTGCAGTTAGAATGAACTGACACCTAGTTGTCAGGGCATTCTCAAAAGTTGTTGAAAAGGTCAGAATTGAGGCTGTTCAACAGTCATAATTATTCAGTAGTAATAATTAGAAGTAATTTTCACCGCAGTGAGTTGTTGCTTTATTCAAATGCTAAAATTAAGTAAGGCAGAAAGATTCCTTACTTTTGATAATAAATATTTATAGTCACTGTTAAAATAAGAAAGGGATTGTGTTTTTACTTTGTAGGGTAATGGACAGCTTTTAAGGCAATATGACACAACAGAGATATTCTGCAATATCTTTAGGCTGTAACTGTAGCAAATACCTATTTAAATGTAGGAAATCTGCTGAGTAAAGGTAATTGTTGGTGATTGTGATTTGTACTGATGATGGTGTAGGGTCCATGTACTGGCAACCAGCAGAGTTTGGCCCATAGTCGATTGTGGGACGCTGTGGTGGGGTTTCTACATGTCTTCGCTCATATGCAAATGAAATTATCTCAGGTGAGTGTAGGAGGACTCACTGCCACTGGGAGCAAAACAGCATTACACACAGACACGACAGTCCGCTGACAGATGTCCCTTTATTCTGGAGGGCTCACACACTGTAACACAAATATAAAACTCTTTTTGTACTATGTGCCTCTGTGGTTGTCCCGCTCTGGCATGTGTCCCTTTATAGTTCCACAGTTAAACAAAAGAATATTTCTTTTTCCTTAATCTCTTTTTTTCTTTTATTTTTAAGTTCTGTCTTTACTGCGTTGCTGTTTGCACAATGAAACATTTTTACATTCTACAACTGTTTAATGCATTCTGATTACTACATATATTGTATCATTTTGTGGGGCCAAGAAAACCCTCAAATGGACTGTTGAGCCTGTCTGTACTCATGCAGCTTTGTAGCTGTCATCTAGTATTTCAGTATTTCAAAACCTTTAATCTAGGTCAGAATGATACAGATTTTGGTAAATGGTAAATGGACCTGTACTTGTATAGCGCCTTTCTAGTCTTCCGACTTAAGAAGTATTACAATACAAACACTACACTTTCTGAAAGCAATTGACTCACAGTCATGAAGACATCCCAGTCTCAAAGAACATATGCATTATCAATGTAAGAAACCTTTTGGCAGTAGTTCTTTCTGAAATGGTTAAATAAAGTGTAGATGGCTAGGAAATTTGTAACACATCTAACTCTTTCTTTTTTTCACCATAGGACTCCAGTCAGATTGAGTTACTGAAGGAATTGATGGATCTGCAGAAGGATATGGTGGTCATGCTGCTTTCTATGCTAGAGGGTAGGTTTGCTTTCATGAGTACATCAGTATTAAACATTAAAGCAGGGATGTCCTCCTGAAAGAGCTGATAGAATGACATAGTCAAAGTTATCACCAGGGTATTTTCACTCTTTATTGACAATCATTAAATCTTAAAAAATTGCAGTGTGGTTGTAAAAATGTTTTGCCATGTGTTAAAAAAGCACTGGTATCAGTGCATGGACATGCAGCTGAGGATATGAGTTTTGTCCAACAAAATCAACAGTGACAACAGTAGGAAGAGATCAACAAACAGTTCAAAAACTAAAAAGAATTATCTTTCCAAAACAAGCTAACTGGTTCTACTAAATCAGTGTGGCTGTATTTTTTGAGAAATCCCATAGTGATTTCAGAGAACACGGTCAAGCATGGCACGGTGGTTAGCATTGTCATCTCATAGCAAGAAGGTTCAGGGTTCAATGGTGAACTGGATCAGGGCCTTTCTGTGTGCAGTTTGCATGTTCTTACTGTGTTTTCTCTTGTTTCCCTTACAATCAAAACATGTATGTAAGGTTAATTCTCCAGTCAGTCCCTACTGGCTCAGATCTGGAATTGGTCCCCAGGTGCTGCACAGTGGCTGCCCACTGCTCCTAGTACTGAGGATGGGTCAAAAGCAGAGAATAATCCAAGAAACAGTAAAGCATAATTTAATAAGAACCCATGGTGACACTTGTGTCACAAACACATTAAATGTCCTTGAATATTCCATATACAGCTTTATGCTTGACCTTAAGTCCCTAAGTGACATATACAAAACATCCTGGTGTGGTGGTCATATGACAGTCATGTGACTGTGACAGGAAGTGTCCTCTCCAAAATGTGGGTGTGACTGAAATGACAGAAATGAAGGAAGTAGCTAAATTCAAAAAGCTTGTTTTTTCTTACTGAGGTAAGTTTAAACCCATTGAACAATTCTAATGCTTTAAAAGTCTGCCCTGTATTGTATTTAACCTGTTCTCACCATATTTCCTGAAAAATAATTCAAACCGGTTACGAAAATATATACGTCACAAGCGGGCTTTTAACCTTCAAGTCGTCATGGAAAACCTGATGTGACGTCTTTGTCACAAGAACAAAAAAGGTAATCACGGCACTCAATTCATTTCTGTTCAATTATTTTCAAATTAATATGTGCCCTGTTGTTCAATTTAAAGTATATTTGAAGAAATACAAACAAAAAAGAATCTCAAATTATTTAGGTATTAATAAAATATTTATTTACCATAAACGGCCAATGTGACTTATATGTCACATCGCAGATCTTTGACATTCAAAAATAAACAATCAGAAATGTGTTCTATGAGTTCCACTTGGTCTGTGGTATATCCCCCATAATTTTCCTTCAAGGAGAAATGGGTCTGGGTTCTTAGCATTGCAAATAATTTTACAAAGGCTTTGTGTAAATGGTTACAATGTCTCATGTTTTGTTGTGGTTTCAAGAGAGTTCCAATATTGTAATTGTTCTAAGGTAATGTGGTGAATGGGACCATTGGGAAGCAGATGGTGGACATGCTAGTGGAGTCCTCCAACAACGTTGAGATGATCCTCAAGTTCTTTGACATGTTCCTCAAACTGAAAGACCTGACCTCCTCAGACGCCTTTAAGGAGTATGACCCTGACGGAAAAGGCAAGGCTGTCAACATAGTTGCTTTCATCATGTCATGTCATGGAAACATCAGAATCATTTCAATGTTTTCCAGAGTGACATTGACCAAGCTTCTGATTATTTATGCATTTATAAATGTACTTACAGGTGTCATCTCCAAGAGAGACTTCCATAAGGCCATGGAGAGCCACAAACACTACACCCAGTCTGAGACAGAGTTCCTGCTCTCCTGTGCTGAGACTGATGAGAATGAACTCCTGGACTATGAGGAATTTGTGGAGCGTTTTCATGAGCCAGCCAAGGTAAATGCCTTGATGTTTCCAAATCTAAAAAGGGCCTTAAATTGCTACATTTAAACCACTCAGAATGATTAAAATCTTTTTTTAGAGAACTGTTTCGAGGGGGTTTAGTAAAAGAGCTTTCTTTCTTATTCTATTTCTATGTCTTTGTTTCATTATTCCTCTGCATTTCCATTATTTGGACAGAATAAAGTACTTGATTTTTTTTTTTAGCAATATCAGAGTAGAAGTGGCAATTTGGTACAATTCTTTGTAATTTTTTCTATTTCTTGCTTAATGTGGCGCACACACTATACGGGGAAGCCAGTTGAGGCATTCCTTGGTTTTGGTCTTATTGATCGGCAGCTCAGTCAGACACTAATTAATCCCTTTGTTTCACTGGTTTTCTGGAGCATAAAAATGACCCTACTTAGAGTAAAGTGGGATAAGAAGTCTTGACTTTGTTTCTAAGCTTAATTGATGACATAGTAGTTGAATTTCAAAATGTAGAACCTTTTTTACTCATTTGATTCCTATCAAAGTGTTTAAAAACTGTCTCTGCATTATGTATCTGAAAGTAATGTTTTGAGAAATCATTCTGGTGCCATCCTTGGGGCCTCGTTTATCACAGGATTTTAGAGGTTGAGTGGTTCTGAACCTATATAGTGAGGAACATGCTGAAAAGGAAACTGTTTAAACTGTTTCAAAAGGACATTGGCTTTAATGTGGCGGTTTTGCTGACCAACCTGTCGGAGCACATGCCTCATGACACCCGGCTGCAGACCTTCCTGGAGCTCGCAGAGAGTGTCCTCAACTACTTCCAACCCTATCTGGGCCGTATAGAGATTATGGGCAGCGCCAAGCGCATTGAGAGGGTCTACTTTGAGATCAGCGAGTCCAGTCGAACACAGTGGGAGAAACCTCAGGTAAAGATGGTGCAGCATATGAATCAGTTAGCAGAAAGTCACTTGAAGGGGGCAACACCGGATTTGGTTACAGTGTTTTCATGTATTTATCTTATGCCCAGGTCAAAGAATCCAAGCGTCAGTTCATCTTTGATGTGGTGAATGAGGGAGGGGAGAAGGAAAAGATGGAGCTGTTTGTGAATTTCTGCGAGGACACCATCTTTGAAATGCAGCTGGCGGCTAAGATGTCTGATGCTGGTGAGCGATCAGCAGTCAAAGAGGAGAGTGAGCGGGAGAAGCCAGACGAGGAAAGCGCTGAGATGGGCTTCTTCTCTGTCACCACTGTCCGCATGGCACTGTTAGCGCTGCAATACAATGTCATGCTGCTCATAAAGGTAAGAGCACACCCAACACCAAACACATCTGACAATTTAAAAAGGTGTGGGGGTTGTTTTGGAGCATTTTAAAGAAATAGTTGAAATTCTTTTGAAAATATAAATATTTGTTGTTTTTTTTCAAAAGTGCAATTCAAGGTGATTTCAGTGTCCAAACTATATGTATAAAATTTGGCGTGCATACTGAGTGGGACTAATGAAGTTTATGTTTTTTCTGATGTTTGAGTTAAAGTGAATGGAGTTTATGATATTGCGCCACTACTCTTCAATGGTGAAGACAAGAATACATCTTTGGTGAATGACCCTCATGCATGAATCATCATACATCAGTAATAGCCTGATTTTAGGCATGAACCGCGGTCATGAAGATACAGAAAATCTCACTCTCAAGAAGAAAGCTAATGAGCGCACTTGGCACTTGGCCATAACTTGGTACGATTCTTCAAATAGTCTGAATTTTGACTTTTTTGAACTAACAGGTATCTGAGTGAGAGAATTGCACAAAACTACTAATATGGTTTGCAATATTAGATTGTGCAATGTCCCAAGGTCTCAAAGATATTTGTTGTGGTTTAACTAAGTTAACTAAATTAAGTGTAGGTTGTTCATGAAACTAGATGCACCGATGCTGTCAAATAAATATTGGGCATTGAACAGTCCTTAACATAAAGCAGTAACATCATCAGTACCACTGAACAGTCAATTCACCTATATATTTCTCTGTTTTCAGGTCCTGTCCATGAAGAGTTTGAAGAAGCAGATGAAGAAGATAAAGAACATGACAGTGAAGGACATGGTGACCACCCTAGTGTCCTTCTACTGGTCAGTATTGCTGGGCCTTCTACACATGGCATTCAGTGTTGCCCGAGGATTTTGCCGAATATTCTACAACACTTTCATGGGAGGCAATCTGGTGGAGGGGGCCAAGACCATAAAGGTTACTATACATAAGAATATAGCAGTGTATCCACAGGTCATTAAAACAGACTGAATATTGTAAAAGTTGCTACTAAATACATGAAGTGTCTCCATCCCCAGGTGTCAGAACTGCTGGCCAACATGCCTGACCCCACCCAGGATGAGGTGCGGGGTGAAGGAGAGGACAGAGAGAAAATACCTTCTGACCGAAGCTCCCCAAAGGAGGACCTGGCTGACCTGGCTGTCAACACCAGTGAGACAGAGCTGCTGTCAGATATTTTTGGCCTAGACTTAAGAAGAGAGGGGGGACAGTACAAGATCACACCACATAACCCCAACGCCAGCCTGACTGAACTGCTCAACTCCCCGGTTCCTTCGACAACCCCACCCACAGCAACCCCACCTGAGCTCAGACGAACATATCAGGTGAGTCTAAGACTACGTTCACGCTGTAGGCACAAGTGACCCACATCAAAAAAGTTTGCTCATATGTGACTGAGATCTGTGTTTTTTCATGAAAGTGTGAACAGCAGAAATCACATGGAATCTGATCTTTCAGTTCTGATTTGGGTCACTTTTATATGTAGTCCAAATCAGATACAGGTACATTTAACAAATAATGTAAACAGCCAAACAAAAGAAATCAGATCAGCACTTGACCGCTAAGGCTTGCAGTGTGAACTTAACCTGTAATCTTTTTTTTTCTTTTCATTATTGCTTTCTTTCTTTCCAGTCTTTTTTTAAATTCTGTCTATTTTAAAATAGTCAAATCAAGGATCAGTTATTTAGGATTGGTCACTGGAAACCATCTAAACCATCACTATTGCCATCAATTGTACCAAAATAACATCTGTGTCATAGAAACACGGAAACTGTAGAGTCTATAGCCATGCTAGCAGCTTTGTGAAGCTGTACTTAGGCACAGATGCTGATGTTAAATTGTAATTTGATTGTACTTGTATAGCGCCTTACTTGTCTTCTGACCACTCAAAGTGCTTTACACTACATGCCACATTCACCCATTCATACAGTGATGGCAAAGCCCATCCCAAACAAAAACTAATACTTATTTAGAGATTACATTTTTTGGTTTTGGCTCCTTGACATTACAGCAACAACAGTTAAAAAGAAAGAGAAAGAAATAATATAATAAAAATAATGTGCTGTGAGTGCCAGGTGTTGTGTGTGTGATCCTAGTGGTCCAGACCTTCATCATGGTTGGGGTGGTTAGGGTCTCTGATGATCCTATGGGCTTAACCATACCTGTCAGCATTCCTGTTTCTCCTGTATTTAAAGGCCATCTCTTTTATTACCACCAACTTTATTATGGGCAGTTGCTATGTTCAAGCAGGTGTGCCACCTACAGTAACATAAGAGCTGTTGTCAAAATGTCAGGGCAGGATGGTATCCCACCTAAAAAAAAGAAAAATACACCTGCAAAGTCTCTGAACAGTTTGCATTTACAGTTTGCTTTTACTGGAAGCAACACATGCATACTCATGGACACGGTAAGTAGAGAGAGAGAGAGAGAGAGAGAGAGAGAGAGAGAGCTCCTGTAGATGAGAAAACAAGAGGGGGAAAATATGTATTATTGTTAATTGCTTTGGCAACAACATGTTTCTGTTCATGCCAATAAAGGTCTTTGAATTGAATTGAGTGCGAGAATATGGGCAGAAGTGTTGACATGATATGAGAACTTTCTTTGATCATGAAGCCTATGTGGCTGTACAATTCTGTGGTTTATCAATAAACTGTATGTACCACACTGCAGACTGGAGCTTGTATATGCGCTGTCTCCTCTTCTGAAATGTGTGTATCTTCTCACATTATTATACTGTATTCCCGTTTGGCCGTCGTGATTTCTCTGTGGACATCATCAGATATTTGGTCATAAACCAAAGATGATTGCACTACAGGAAAAGTCAGAGGATCCTAAATGATATTACAATTTGTCCTTCAAACCAGTGAGAAGAGCACATAGAAAAAAGAAATACAGTAATCCCCCATATTAGATTATGAAATGATTCTTGAACTTCATCAGAAAACTGTTCATGTAGGATTAGTCATAAGAAGAAACTGAGTGAGAAAATGTTGCTAATATGGCTAAAATACACTTTCCAATAAACTGGCTTGTTTGTCTGTTTGTGTGTTTTCTGTTTCAGTCGAAGAGCTTTTCCTCAGATGAGAAGGAAGCAACAACAGAGACAGAATGTGAACCGGAGAAAACATCAGAGTATGTATACATTTTGTTATGCAGTCTGTTTACTACAACAGACATTGTAACAGTCCAGACAAAAACACACTATGTATGGATAGTGGAGACATAAAAGTACAGTACAGGTGGTATACAGGCAAGAAATGCCAGAAACCACAACCTGAGACTTACAACCTGACATCACTACTTATTGTATTGTTTATTAAAGGGAAGAATCTAATGACTAGTGGTCAGAGCCAGCATAAAATCACTATTCACTCACTGTTTTGACCAGAAGATCCACTTACTAGCTTTTTCCATGGTACTCAGCAGACAGTGTTATCTCAGCTGTTGCATATGCTAAATACCTATTTTTTTTTACTAAATTTGCTATTTATTTTTTGTTTATTTTAAAAATCATTACTTGGTGTATAAACAGAAGGGGGTTTCATAGCAATGGCAATTCCTTTGATTAATAGCTTGGTATTATAACATCATAGTGTGTAACACCTGCCTGAGCTTCAATTAGACCACGAAAATCTCAAAATACAGTAAAATAAGGAAAGCCACAGTGAAGCGGTATTATAGAATATGTATTGTTTTGTAATTTCAGTGGTGGACATGTAGAGAAACAAGAGAAACAACAGAAGAATGACAAGATGAAGCCAAAAGTGAGAAGGCATCACACATCAAAGTCTGATGAACCTGATCTACAGGAGTCTGCCTTCTTGAAGAAGATCATAGCCTACCAGAGGAAACTACTGGTACAGGGACTTTTTCTGCCCACTTGTTTCAATGGTGCTGGTCAACTCTCTCTGTCAACGTAGTGTATTCCAGTCCAACTGTAAACATATTCACACACTGTGTGGTGTGGACCGCAATTCTGGAGCAGTTGATTTATTTAAAGCTCCTGTAGGTCATTTTTATAAAAATCATATTTGCTGAAACGTTGACAGTAGTACATGAGACAGATTATCTGTAAAAAATAAAATAAAATAAAAAATAAATCATGTTCCTCCGGCTTAAAGTTTTAGAAAACGCAACAATATTATAAAACGATACTGCAGCTTAACTGCTCCACCTGTAACATCCAGAAACACATTAGTAGTTCCATTTTCTTTGTCCCCTGCAGAACTACTTTGCCAGGAACTTCTACAACATGAGGATGCTGGCGCTGTTTGTTGCCTTTGCAATCAACTTCATCCTCCTATTCTATAAGGTACTGGTACACAACGGATGTTGCTACCATTTACTAAAATTCCTGATTTCACTGTAGCTTTTCTAAAAAAATGTCATGCATGTTGTGGCTTTTTTAGATGATTTTTTGCAATGAAATTGCCAGGGAAAATAAACATTGCAAAAACAGTTTGTTTTTTTAGTAATTTAATATAAAATCAAGGCCACTTGTTCCAGTGAGGATAAAATCAAATTAGTTGACGTAACGTTTTTTTTTCTATGATTCATAGAACTTGGAGGAAACTACAACGATTTCTTTGTGGAAAGGTTGCTGTATTGGGACAAGTCACCCAACTTTTCCAGTTCCCTACAGAGCTTGTTAGGAATTTTCAGCTCTAGATCTTTTTAACAGCAGTCATTTTCATGTCAAAAAACCTGCTGTGGAAAAGTTCTATGGTTTTGGTTTAACTTTACTATTTTGGTTTAAGCAGTGCCGTGGAGTTTGTCATTCATCCAAATACCGGATGTTGATGGAGCAGGTCTCTATAAAGTTGTGGACACAGACACATTTCGGACATTAGTCAGGAGCAGCCTTCCTTTTCTCCCAGGGGTGTGGCTGTAAGAGAAGTAAATCCTGAATAAGTGGCACTTTGGTTTAGTTGTGTATTCTGAGATACACTCCCATACAAGATGCCTGACTTGAAGGTAGCAGCAAAAATCTAATTGGGGAGGGTGGTATTTAGTATGAAACTGAAAAATTGTTTTATCAAAGTGGGGAGACGTCAGGCTAATCATCACAAGGGGATCCCCATTGCCAGAAAGTAAGAGCCCTCACATTTGCAGCCCAATAATATTCCCTGAACACAGGGAGGCCACCCTTTTTTATATTCTTCTGTAAGTGGTCTTGGGGGGAGTTTATTGGCCCAAACAAATGAAAGAATAGCAGAATCCAGTTGTTTAAAGAAGAACATAAATTAATTTATTTATCATGTCACATTAAGAAATTAATGTTCAGTAAATGTTTAGGGTTTCTGGAAATCTTATGCCCAAGGTAGATACAATTGGTGTTCACTAATTTAAAGATTTCATATTATTTCCCAGTGGCATGGACTCACTTTTATCCCAGTTATTTGTATAGCCTGACAATTTACTAAATTATGTAATGTAGTTCAGAAAGTTGAGAACTGATACTACTGGATCCGTTAAACAAATCAATAAATCTTCAGCATATAAATTAACCTGGGTGACCTCTTACAGTTGCAAGAGGTTCTAAAGCAATATCAAAAAGGATCAAAAGGTTGTGATTTTTCTATATTAATGAGAATAGAAGATACAGCATTAGTGTACATTATTTTGACCCACTCTATAAAGTTTCCCCCAAACCCAAATAGCTTCAATCCTTCAAACATATAGGGTCATTCGATCTGATCAAATGCCTTTTAAGCATCAAGATGGCAGGCTGTATGTCTTCTTCATGAGCTGAATAGAACAGACGAACATTACTAAATGAAAGTCTACCTGCTATAATATATCCAGTCTGATCAGGATTTACAATTGTTGAGATATGCTTACCAGTTTTGTAGCTAAGACCTTAGTTATTATCTTCTGGTCACAATTCAGAAGAGCAATGGGTCTTTAATTTGCAGGGT